GCAATGTCCATGGAGGTCAGAGGAAAGTGCCGGATTCCCTCAGAACTGGAGTTACAGACGGTTATTAGCTACCATGTGGGTGCTGGGAATCAAACCCGGGTCCTCCGCATGAGCAGTCAGTGCTCTTAACTGCTGAGCCATCTCTCTAGCTCTGTGTTTAATATCTCTTGACCTTATATTCACCATTATTTCAATGACAGTAATTTTATTTACTAATAAAAAGAGGATTAAATGATTTAATGTTTTGCCATACAAAAAGTGGTCTACAAAATCACATCATCTTCATAAGTAGCTTGTTAAAAATGCAGCCTTTCAGTCTTCCCCCAGCCTGACTGCCAGAAACATCAGCCTTACAGGTTCTCCAAAGTCTTATGAATGTGTGCAAAGTGCCCATAGTAGGCACTCAGTAGAGACTGTTATTACCAACTGGGCTGCTGTTTCTCTTCATCCCTTTCCTTGTCTTTAATTTGCTGTGCATTGCTCTACAAGGAGTTGGTTAGAATCCTTGAACAAAGAGTTGTACAGAATTGGACATCATTTAGGTTTTCAAATAGATATGGTATTCTGGGTTGTGAAGAATTTATGAGGGAAATCATGTGTGACATCATCCCACTGGCTGTGCTAGGCAGAAGATGAATTAAATTGGATGAAAAACTAAGTAATTCCTAGAACTGTCTCTCCCTCACTCTCCACATCTAGTCTGTCACACAGAAATGATGATTTTACCGTCAGTATGTCTCCTGATCCCAACTCTTTCCTATTATCTCCCATGACATCACTATACTAATACACCATTAATCTCCTGCTTGATAACCTGAAATACACACTTGGTTGATCTTCCATATCTTCTTGGTCCCTTAAGTCTGTTGTGCAGCTGGTACACTCTTTTTCATGAGGGTTTCGATTAATATCTGTCATTATAACCAGGAGTGGGGGCACACATCTGCAGTCCCGCCACTCAGGAGGCTGAGATAGGAGGACTGTCAAGAGTCAGAGGCTACCATAGACTAGATAGAGTTCCGGACTAGTCTGACCAGACTCTTTCCTCTCTTAAAACTCTGAGCATTTTGCTACTTTGAGGGTAGAGTATAATCATAGCCTGGAAAGCCCTACAATGTGGGAATTGCCTCAGTTCTTTGTGTTCTAGTCAAACCTTTACTTCCTAGACTTTGCGGAGGCTTTCCCTACCCCAGACTCTTTGAACACACAGGTCCTCTGTCTAAAATTCTTTTATCTATAGCTCCCCCACATCTCAGATCAGAGAATAGGATTCCTCAGAATCCTTCTCTGTCCCACAAAGGAACCCGACCCTCACCATACTCTATATTAGCATGTTGCCCTTTTTCTCACAAAGGGGAGAATGTTAATGATAAACAATTTTTAATGAAACATCTGTCATATGCTCATTCAGTTAATGCACATCAGCCTATAAACTCTTAGGTCAGATTGGTATCTACAATTCATTTTGCTCATGGTTGTTAAATTTCCATCACCCATAATAGTGTTTAATACTATTTGTTTAATGAATGAAACAGTGAAATATCTCTAGGAAACAAAAGTGCAAAGGAGAGCTTGAGGGAATCTTTCTAAGAGAAAAACAGGATATTGCTATGTAGCTCTGGCTAGTGTGGTACTTGAAATTAATGGCATGCACCACTATGGTAGTGAATTAATGGCATGCACCACTATGCCCAGTTGTGATGAATGGCATTAGTCAGTATGCCAAATAGCACACCGGGAAACTAAATGACCAGCATGGTTTATGACTAGAAAGCTAATTCTGAGTAAATCTCAAGAACAGAATCTGATAGGTTTCAACCTTACCTGAATATCAGAGTCACTCTTGAGTTTCTTCAAAATACCAATAGCCAGACCTCTAATTCACACATTCCGACTTTTTCTTACATCTGGGATGCTGCATATGAATTTGCCTTTTTATGAGTTTCCTAAGTCTCTGACACAGAGTCTTGGGTAAAATCCACAGATCTAGAAAGGACTGGGACTTAACAAAGTTTCACACTAGCTTCAGAGTTAGTACTAAAATCCAAGGGGCATGACTCCCTGACTTTGAGCTTTTCAGTGACTTGGAAACCTAAGAACCTGACTACAGTTCATGTTGATCTGCCTAAACCAACCAGAAACTGCATGAAGGAGGAAATTAAAGTCTATTTAATAGAGCTCCTGCAAAACCCTAGACAAACCTGATTTTTGTGGCTGAACAACAGAGCATCATAGAGTCACCATGATGCCCCCAAATTTGAATAGAGATAACACAGCCTTACATGGGACAGCTTTTGTGTACTTTATGCTGCCTCATGCAAATAGAGGATTTTGTTTTCCTTCATCCCAAATGTCCTGGCAGGCCGCTATGGGGCTGTTCTCATAAAATCCCATAAGTGAAGAAGAGTTCTTCAAGGTCATGGAGTCCACTGGTTTGCACAGACTCTAAAAGATCCACAAAGGCAGTCTCAGAAGAACTGGAAGCCCTGTGCCTCCAGTGCTATTAATTTCGTTGACTATTAAAGTATCCATTTATTTAGGTAGAAACTCCCCAGGGTAACTAAATGGTCATCAACTGCATTCAAGATGAGACTCCATATTTGTGTGCTATTATATTTCTGAGACTTTTAAATAATAAAAAGTAGTACAAAGAGAATTTCCTATTATCAAAGAAGAGGTGCAATATGAAAGCAGAATCTTTCAAACTGTGCTAAGTTTGGGAGTTTGTTGTCTTCTCCAAACTGTCTTATTGCTACATAAAGAACTCTGAATATTCCACAAACTCAGAACCAATGTTTAAAAATTAACTCCAAAGAATAGGGATCTATCATGTGTTGTTTAGTATCTAAATTCCTTACTGTGTGTTCTTAATCCTCTTACTCCCTGCCCCACCCCAAGAGAAGAATATTTAATGTCAAGCATCTCTGTCTTGTTCAGAATGACCGCCTTAAGCAAAAAGCAAAGGAGTAAGGGTGTTAAGAAGAAAGAAAGGACTAAGAGAGAAAAAGGATGGGTGAGTGGGGCACTTAGCTGCACTTGGGCTTTTCTTGGTCCTGAGACAAAGGAAAGGGATCTTTTAAACCTAATTTAGATTATTTGGGTTAAAGAAATGTGTTTACAGATAATTAGTCCTGCCTCAATGAAAAAGACACCTTTGAGACTTAGTAATAATTAATTGCTCAGCACCACTCAACTGTAGATAGGGCAGAACACTATCCACAGATTGTTGGTGTGTAATATCTCCAGTGTAGGTGTGAGGCAAAGATTAGGGAGGAATACATTGGAGGATACAAGGCCAAAGCGAATGGAAAGTCTGTCTATGCTCAGCTTGTACATGGTTGTGTCCATTACTAGACATTCCTCTGCCCTCCTAATGGTTTAATGTCATCATAATCTCCTAAATGACATTATTGCCTTTATGTGGCCTGAACTTTCACGCCCAGGCTGGTATCCATGGAAACTAATTTCCTCTGAGTACCTGTGTCTACCTCTGATATGCTGGTGGTATCATCCTCTACTTTGTGCTTTGTGAGAGAGCAATCTCTCTTTTTCTCTCTCTCTCACCTCTTTTTCAGAATGACTTTTATGGCTGAATAATGAGGTATCTTAAAGTCATTAATTATGCATATATCATATATACATATATGTTCTATGTAGTAAGACTATATAAAAATCATATATCTTATATATCATATACTCTACATATATATATTTGGAAAAGAAAGAGAGTGAGGAAGAAGGGGAGGAAAGAGAGGTGAGAGAGAGACTATAAAAGAGACTCAAAATGGGAACATGGACCTTTACCTGGTTTGGGGAGTTCTTGTCCCTATTCTCTGCCTATGGCCTTGTTCTAACTCAAGTAACTCAACGTTTTTGCTTCTTAATTAAATAAACTTTATCCTTTTGTTCCAACAAGGCCACTCCCTCTTTATCCACACTGAATTCTTTCCCTGGCTGTTCTGTCCTACATAGGACATAGATCTCCAGTCACCTAGCTCTTACTTCCCGTGCAGATTCTTTCCTTTTCATTTCCTTCTGCCATTACGTCTGTATTTCTTTAAGACTATGTTTAACCACTAGAATAAGTCTTTTAGTATTCCATAAATTACTCCCTCAAATGATACTGTACTAGTTGAATATATCTGTTCAAAGCTATTCATTAGAATCTGCTCATTTGCTTACAACCAACAGAGGACTTGCTCCCTTTGGCATCATTTTACATCTACTCCACACCTCTACTCAGCCGTTCTTACTATCCCAGACCTCTGCAGAATGGAGTCGCATAGCAGTAAGAAGACCTCAGAAGTGATTCATCATCTGCTACCCATTTCAAACATCTTTCTTCAGAATCTCCAACAGATGGTCAGACAACGGACTACAAAGAAGAGTTGATTCTACGTGAATTGCATGGAACTTCATAAATGTACAAGACTACTAACACCAAGTGCTCTTTTACAAAGCGTTATGAGAAAACTCATAGTTCCAGGACAAATATCTTTACCCATGAGGTTCCATCTATGGCCTCCTGTATCACACCTAATTCCCACCCCAGTGACTAGGAACCTGCACCTTCTGGAACCTATCGATAGTGTCTTTTCTGGACAGCATCAATATGGTCTACAGCACTATCATCCTCTCCTACGATTCCTTTTTATCCCTTTTGAGAATAATTACCTGTAGTGGTTTCTCCTCCATGATGATGCTATCTTGAGAATTTGTGGAGTTGCCATCACAGAACTTGAGGGGGCGGTAGACGCAGCATGTGGTGAAGCAGATCATGTAGAGAATGTATAAGGCGCCCAAGAGAAAGAAGTAGGGTCGCCCATATTTCTTCCACTTCAGGCTCACCAGCTCTTTCACTGGGGTCTGCCACCCCAGTGACTAGGAATCTGCACCTTCTGGAACCTATCGATAGTGTCTTTTCTGGACAGCATCAATATGGTCTACAGCACTATCATCCTCTCCTACGATTCCTTTTTATCCCTTTTGAGAATAATTACCTGTAGTGGTTTCTCCTCCATGATGATGCTATCTTGAGAATTTGTGGAGTTGCCATCACAGAACTTGAGGGGGCGGTAGACGCAGCATGTGGTGAAGCAGATCATGTAGAGAATGTATAAGGCGCCCAAGAGACAGAAGTAGGGTCGCCCATATTTCTTCCACTTCAGGCTCACCAGCTCTTTCACTGGGGTCTGTTCTAGGATCTGACGCGCCTGCCATGGAAGGAGAGTAGATGTAGGGTAACAAATATGGTGAGCAATGTTGAGTTTTCCAGTGTGTTCCAGAGGGGCAAGACAGTAGCTGTTACTGCAATCATTCAAACATTCATTTCTTTGACAGGCAGTTAGTAATTTCTATTATATGCTGGTCTTTACACTAGTACTACAGAGAAAGGCCTACAGAAATAAGCACAGTGCATACCTTTCCACTGAGGTTTTAACAGATGATAGTGAGTGAAAGTCAGGAAAGATCACTACACAAGGTAACAACAGTGACTAGATAGGGTAGGAAGGCTGAGAAACCATTTCCCATTTGCAGATGAGACATGGTTGGGAATATGGGGGAATCTGTTGTGGTTGGTGAAGGTTGTATGGGTGAAATAAACAAAAGCAAAGATCACTGTGCAGGTGCCCTGTGGATACCAAGGGAGAGAATTTGATTTCTTTTCCTGAATGCATTGAGAAGCAATTAGGAAATCCAAGCAAGGAATAGTCCAGTTTCCTCTAGGTGTATTGTTAGACTGAAGAAAAGCAGTACAGGAGGTAGGAGGATGTGGCAATAATCTAAGCCAGATGGGATGACGGTCTCAAAGAAGTAAAGAGCAGGATGCAAATGAGAGAGGATGATGACTCGCTGAGGCATCTGGGAAACTAGGAAGAGGCAGAGGCAAAGCAAAGCAAAAAGGATGAGCCATTGGCAGAGAACACCTTTCCCATTGAGGCTGGAGGGAGAGAGGAAGGCTTCCTGGCAAGCATAACAATCTAGGACAGGATGTGAAGGAGACCAACCAACCAGTTGATTTTTGCCATAAGATGGAGAGGGCCTGTTCCTCAGATGGAACAAAGAGTGACAACTGCAAGGAATATGACAATATAATGAGGCTAGACATGCCGCGTCAGGGAGGAGAAAAGTGGCTGACACAAGTTAAGTAAAACCCAGAGGAGAATATTGACAACTGCCAATACTTGATATAAAATATCAAGGAGGTATGGTAGCAAAATCCACAGAGTGGGCTTGGGGTTTTTATTCCTTGAAAACTTGCTCAAAGCATATGTATTTCCTAGATTGTTCCAGGATCACACAAACTGGCTGTTCAGTCTTTCTTCTGTTCACTAGTGTTAACAATCTGACATGCTTTATGGCTCAGGGGCCTGGACCCTCAGAGAAATTCATACCTCCCGCTTCTTGGAGGAAACCACAAGTTCCAGAAAGGACAGCTCCTCTCCCCAGGAGTCTATCTCCGTGAGGTCGTAGAGGGTGGATGTCAGGGGCCCATATGACCACTGAATATGCTTCCGCTTCTGCATCAGGTGTTGAAACATCTAAGGAAACACAGCAAAGCATGGATGGTCAATGCAAGAAGTTGGTCTAGGAGAACACCTATGTACAAAGTCAATCGTTCATACTAATGATGAGGGAAGAGAAAGGTCATCAAAGGGACATCTTAGGGCTGAGGCCTCACCACGGTGTTGCCTTCCACACCAGCCATCTTGAAGGGGGTGAGTCCCTCATGGTTGGGAACAAGTTCCAGGGACTTCAGGTGGTCCCCTCCATCATAGGACAGCAGCAAGTTGTACATCTGGCAGGCAAAGGTTTTATTGGGCTGCAGAATGAGGATGTGCAGGACTGTGTTTCCTGGGGAGGAAACAGGCTGCTATTTGGTCATAGGTCTAAAGTCTCTGTGGGTCCCATTCCCTATCCCAGCTCACATGTGCATGGACACACACACACACACACACACACACACACACACGAGAGAGAGAGAGAGAGAGAGAGAGAGAGAGAGAGAGAATCTAGCACACCCGTAGCATCCCAGCTCTTACCCAGGGAGTCCTGCGCCCGGATGTCAGCTCCATGTTCAATGAGCAGTCTCACAATCTCCTCACTGCCCACACAGGCAGCAAAGGACAAAGGGTATTCTCCTGAAGACACAAAGAGATCCATGGCAGGAGATAGCAGGATCAGAAGATGAGAGGAGTGCTCACCCTTCATCCCTACATATCTCCTCCTCCCATATCTCAGCTTGGGGCTTGGGAGCACTTGCTCAGTAGAGGAAAGGACAGTGCCAAGTGTTGAAGAGGGAACTGACCTCTGCCTCTAAGTACTAGAAGGGCTGCCCCTCTTCCCTTCCCAGCAGGTGGAACTGAGGGCAGGGTCCTTCTTAGTCCACCCTCTTTTTGCCCCTGAACTGCTCTCCACCTCCGTTCCTTCCAAAGTGGCCCATCTTACCATAGTAGATGAGGTTGTGGGGACTGTGGTGGAAGGCAGAACCTGTAGCTCTGGCTGAGACACTGGCCTCACGCGCAAGCAGAGTGCGTACCAGGTTTACATTCTGATTCATAACTGCAATGTGCAGTGCAGTCTGACCTATCCCAGAGAGAGCTGTGAGTCACACACAGTTCTTTCTGGGCCACAACCACTCCAGAGTCCCTTACAGAAGGTCCTTGACAGTTCTTCATATAAACTTCTGGTCTAGGCTCCGCAGTAGCCAGGAACTGAAGATAGTTAATCTCTCAGGTTCCTGGATCAGTATCTCTATCCTACATCTATTAAGGGATTGCTATAAATATAATCAGCCTAGTGTTGCTATGGGAGAGAGAGATATGGAGCCATGGCCTCAGGGACCATAAGACTGACCATACATACAAAACAGCTAAAGGAAACCATGTATGCTAAAAGTCAAATCTGACCTCATATTTCTCCCAACACATGAGAATTCTCTATCAGGTCCCTGAACCTATCCTACATATATCCATTTTAGAAATGGTAGCCCACCCACATCTGTTTCCTCCTTGCATTACTGAAAAGTCCCCTCACCTACAAATGGCTCACACAGAATGGGCTCTGTAACCAGATTAGGAGCAGCCTCCATCAGCACCATAGAAGCCTCCAGGTTGTCATAGAGGGCTGCTACATGCAGAGCCGTCTCCCCCAGGGCTCCTGGAGTGAAATAAGGAAAAAATACCAAATTCTTGGTATATTACTTCAAGGAAAATGTTCCTGTCTCCAGAGGCATCTCAGTAGACTCTGAAATCAGCCCTTTCCAAAGCCCACCTGGCTCCCCTTAAGTCTGATCTCACCTCTTTGTTGGAAGTCACAGTTCTGGTCCAGCTGAAGTCTCTTAAGGGTACACAGATCATTTTCCTTGGCTGCTCTAAGCAGTGGAGACTCCCAAATCCTGGAGAAGAATGAACACAAGTCAGGTGGGGACCATGACAGAGAGGCCACAAGCAGAAGAGGCAGAGGCATTCTCTAATACACACACGACTCTCACATTAGCAAGCCCACTTTGCCATCCTTCAGTTGTTTGCTAGACTCATTAGCAAGCCCACTTTGCCATCCTTCAGTTGTTTGCTAGACTCAGGGGATGATAGGCGACTAGGACAAACGCTTGTCATCAGGCTTCCCAGGCTGCCCGTGGGATTCTTCTCACTCTAATTCCTCCCATACAGGGAGGTTCGTGTGTGGCCTTTGGCTTAGCTGTAAGGATGGAGTTAACAGAGGGATAGTTCCTGAGAGAGGAGAAACTAAAGTCAGTAGTAGGTGGTCAGAGTGTCTCTGTGACAAAAGAGGATGTCAGGCCTGATGGACTTCATCTAGGCTCTATAAATGTGTCATGAGCATAGGAGACAGACAAAGAGAAGGGGCCATTTCTCTCTTTTTATATTAACTAATTAATTGATTTTGCATGACAGAGTGCACATGTAGCAACCAGAGGACAATTTACAGGAGTTGTTTCTCTCCTTCCATCGTGTGGGTCCTAGGGATCAAGCTCAGGTAATCAGGCTTTGGGGCAGGTGCCTTTACTTGCTGAGCTGTCTCACTAACCCACAATTCAAGAATTTTCAATATATTAAAATTTGGAGAGCTGAAGAAGTAGCTCAGCAGTTAAGAGTGTTTGATGCTCTTGCAGAGGACCTAGGTTCAGTTCCTAGCACCCACATGGAGCTGCTCACAACTGCAACTCCAGTTCCAGGGGATCTGACACTCTCTTCAGCCTCTGAGAACTCTTACATGCATGTGGTTCACATACATACACTCAGGCATACACATGTATACATAAAATAGAAAAATAATCCAGGTGTGGTAGTGCATGCCTTTAATCCAAGCACTCAGGAGGCAGAGGCAGGTCGATCTCTGTGAGATCGAGGCCAGCCTGGTGTACATGAAAAATTTCAGGATCCCTGGGACTATAGAGAGATCCTGTCTCAAAAAGCAAAGCAAAACAACAAGTAATTTTTTTAAATAATAAAAAATAAACCTTGCAAGAATTTGTTTATATATCACCATTATGTAACTCCAGAACTCTTTCAACAGCCCCCAAACCATCCCGGAGCCTGGTCAGTCATCCCCCATATCCTCTTCCCTGGCAACAGCTATGTTCATATAAATGAAATTATGCAGTGTGTGTCACTTATGACTGGATTTTTGCACTTATTATGATTTTAAGTCTCGTTTATGCTACAGTATATGTAGGTACACAATTCTTATGACTGAATGATATTTCATTGTATGACTACACCACGTTTTATTTGTTCATTCACCAGCCAATGGGGCATTTTCACTTTTTAATTAATGTAATGCTGCAGTGAATATTGGGGTTCGTTTTCCATTTCTCACATTTCCTATTGATTTTTTTGAAAAAAATCATACATCTTGATCATATTTAGACCCCCTCTCCTACCTGCCCCACCCATAGCCCCCCCCCAATTTTCATGTATTCTATCATGTATATAAAGGCTTATTGAGCCAAGTTTGTGTCCCCAAATGTCCCTTGGTGTGAGTCTATCCACTGGAGCCTGGTCAGCCTATCTAGTGTCCTGAGGAGGGGCTATTTCTGTCAGTTCCCCAGGCTCTCATGCTGGTTGGATCTCTTCTTTTTAGTCAAGTGGCATTTAGTGACCAGAAAAATGAAGGAAGGCTTGAATCAGCTTTAGATCTTACAAATTCTGTGATATTAATTGGTTAAAATTTATAGATGCCAAAAACCAAGATGTGGACTCTTGTATTTGCCCTAACTCGAGTTATGACCACTTTTTGAGCAGTGTAGAGCCACATCTCATCTGAGGACAGAGAGTGTGAGGTTGCCATGGGCCCATCCTTCCTGCTGTACCTAACGCTTAGACATAAGACTAAATATTTTGTTCATAACCAAGAGGAGCAAGTCTTGGGCTTCGCAGTGGGTTGAGACAATTGACCTACAGAACCCCTCTGAGTTAATCTTTGTATCTATCTCTGTCTGGATCTGAATGAAATAGGAGATAAAGCCCAAGCCAGTCTTAATAGACAAGGAAGTTTTAGATCCAAAGGTAAACACAGGGTCTGGCAATTTGGGGGCCACAGGGAAAGGAAAGGAAATAGATTGATAACTGGTTCCACTGATGTCCTTCAGTCCCCAGTCTTCGGTGTCTCCAGGAGCTAGGAATTTTCTAGTTAAAGAAGCTTTTTATCCCACAGTACTCCCAGGATAGTCTTGCAAAAGGAGAAGTCAGACTCTGTCCTGCCCCACTAACCTCTCAGTCCCAGTTGAGCTATGTGGCGCTGACCAGCCCAGAGTGGCCAGGGCTGGATTCCAGAGTTCACTCCCTATCTGAGGTTACGATACAAAGCCCTTGTCCCTCCTATCCCTTGACCGCACTGCCCCTCCGTAGACGAGAGTCCAGAAGTCAGCTGAACGCAAAGACTACCATAGTCCCCCTCTAATGCAGGAGGTGGGGAAGCCAAAGTTCCCATTGCATAGCCTAGGGGGGAACTTTGTGAATAATCAGAGCAGAAGAGCACTCAGTACAAAATACAAATGCAAGAGCCCTTGTTCACGATTATTAAAATTTTCAAGACAGGGAGAGCTGGCCATTGAACGAAGCACAAGTCTCTTCTGAAACACCGGCAGCAATGCTGTCTGCCCACCCTGTCTTCCAGCCAGCTCTTGAGCAAGAGACAAATCCCACAAGGCAGAAGCTCACCTGCAGGAGGATCCCTAACCCCTTGCCTTGGCTGCCTTTCTGACATCTAGTCCTCTGAGCTCAGTCATGGAATGATCGATCTACCGGCAGACGGACCAGCAACTCTGAACTACTGGACCTCAGGAGCAGACAATGCCTCAGTTAGCTCTAGAATCTCTGGCAAGCATCACACACGATCACAGGCAGAATTGAACTCAGCACCGTGATCTCACCTGAGCTGCCTTCCTCAGTTGGTCACCTCTAGTCATTACAAACAAATCTCTCCTCCCCCTTTCCCAGGTAATCAACTTTCATTTTTCCTGATGACAACTCCGTGTTCTTTTGCTTTTACCAAGTCTTCTAAGCAAAAGGAACTTCAAAACCTGTAAGATTTGATCCCCTCCCCAACTATCTACTCCCCAGGAAACTGCTCTTGCCTGGCCTTCCCATCCCATTCACCCAAATGGATTCTTTATCTGTCTCTTTGGGTCTTTCCTGCCTCCTTCATGAAGGAAGATATTCAGATTTGAGCTTCAGCTGTCATTCTGCCCAGGCTTTTACACCCATATTCAAATGCCTAATGCTACACTTTCCACTACGGTGAGCTGGCTGGGGTATGGTGCCATACGAGCTACGCTATGCTGGAAGGGCGACGTACATCTAAGAGCCAGGTGCTGAGTTCTAGTGCTTTATCAGAGGAACAGCTCTGTGTACCAGAGGGCTTGAGAATCAGTGTGTGGTGGGCATAGGTACCCTTGAGAGCCTACCTCTTCTGTTGCAGCATGTGAAGCTGGTCCAGGTGCTGGTCCCAGTCTTGTTCTCCGACCAACCAGTTGAGAAGTTTCTGGAGTTGGGTCCAAGACCCCTTTGCCCCCATATCTTCTTGCAAGCACTTGCAGTTTCGAGAACTCTGATGAAATGAGCCAGTCTAGGATGGCAGCCACTGAGGAGGCTGTCTGCTCCCCGTGAAGACCGGCTGGATTTATCTCCTGGTAACTTGTGCATGCAGTGTGCAGTTGTGGGGAGTGAATGCATGCATGTGCACTGAAGGGCTGGCTACCTTGCTGGGAGAGGGGGAGGAGACCTTCTCAGAGCTGAGCCTGGGGGCACAGAGCAGTCAGGAGTGGGGAGGGGGAAGGGAAGGAACTTGGTTCTTGGCAGTGGGCTGGGCAGCTGAACTGGGAAAGGCTGAAGGGTGGGGCCAAAGAATTTGGAGAGAGAGCAAGGCTAGCTCCTGCAGGTGGGACAGGTACCCCGGAAGACAGGTGCTAAGTGACCCCCAGGGGGCCCTGTGTGACTCCTGTAGGAAAATAGGAAGCAGGAAGGCAACGAGGAAAAACCTAGATTTAAAAGAATAAACCTGAGAGGGCACACACACACACACACACACAGCCTAGGGCCAGAGGAGGTGGGCACCTCTTCCCAGCCCAGGATCCCCAGGAGCCAGGAGAGTGTGCCCTCCCTTAAAGACTTAGGGTTTTTATATTTGTCTCCCTTCAGGGAGGGAGGAAGGTTTGAGGCTGAGGTTGTGTCATCTCAGGCAGGTGCAAGGTTGGTTTTCCCATTTCAAGGAGTGTCAGTCATTCAAGACTGCCGTCCAGGTCCAGGGAGTGCCCGGTGGTTGGGATTGAGTCATATCAGAGGAACCAGTAAGGGGGGGTGGGTTGTGAGGGGTTGGGGGAGTGAGGGGTGGATTGTGAGGCATAGCTTCTGGGAAAGCCACCAAGGAGTGGTGACCATTTGAGAAGCATTCAGGACCTAATATTTCTCCATCAACCCCAGAAGTTGGACAGCAGGAACTGGAAAGGAGTAGAGGATAGAAAAACTGTGGGACACTTTCTAAAAACAAGTTATGATAAGACATTGTTAGTTTATTATATGACATCTTGAACTGTAGTTCTGATGGTTTTCTTTTTTAAAAAAAAATTATTATTTTTGTTTTATGTGTATGCTTGTATTGCCTGAACGTAAGTAAGTGCACCTATATCGTACAATGCCTGCGGAGGACAGAAGAGGCTGTTGGATCCCCTGGAACTGGAGTTAGAACAGTTGTTAGCTGCCACATGGGTGCTGGGATTCAAACCTGGGTCTTCTGCAAGAACAACCAGTGTCCTTAACTGCTGAGCCTTCTCTCCAGCCCCCTAGTTCTGATGGGTTTCAATGAGACCTATCGTTCAGTGCAATTGAATATAGTCATCTAATGGACCTGTGAGATCAATGGAAATATGGCAAAAATTCTGTTTTCTGAAGGAGAAGACATCATACAGAGAGGGACTATGGTCTAGGAACTCCCTGGGCTAGAGGCAAGACTGAAACCGGCTTTGAAGTTAGACTCTTAACTGCCAATGAATTGCTCTCTGGGCCTTTCTGCTTCTTGGGAAACTTCAGGTCATCCAGATATGAGAGAGATGGTTGAGATATGCTTGGGACTCTCCTTTGGAGATCTTCGGAACCTGGGACTGCTCCTGTTCTTTTTTTTAAAAAAAATTTTATTTATTTTTATTTTTATGTATATGAGGGCACCTGTGTCATGCAATCCCCAGCAAAGTCAAAAAGGGATGTCAAATCGCTTGGAACTGGAGTTACTAATGGTTGTTAGCCACCACGTGGGTTCTGGGAATTGAACCTGGGTCCTCTGCAAGAATATCCAGTGCTCTCCATTGCTGAGCCTTGTCTCCAGCCCCCCTTCTTTTTTAATGTAATTTTTTTGTTTTTATTTCTTGAGAATTTTTGTACATTTACACTCTACCCTCCTCCACAGAAGAGGGGACAGAAAGATGGGAAGAACCAGAAGACAAAACACCTGATGCTACATAGTGCATAGACTTGACAGGGATACTGCCCCATGAAATCTCAACAGTAAGGTTGCTTAAGCAAGACCCGCACAATGACAGCACTAGTCAACATGGCAACTTGGATAAGCAAATTTTACAAGGCCCAACCCCTAGATGAAGTACCCTGTTCTTTTGCTATAAACAAGAGAGCTCTGATTCAGAGACTGAGGGATAAACACAATAACCTTTAGAGAAGGACAAGAATTGAAAGAAAGAAAATACGGGAAGGAAGAGGAGGTGCCTGAGACATAGTGGAAGCCTGTTCCTGCCCAGGGAGTGGGAGGGTCACCTTGTGAGACATTTTTATGCCTCACTGGGGGTTGGGGCAGTGTGGGTGCTAATGGCCTCTGAAACCTGTGGACTTCTAGTCTAAGGAGATGGAAGGAGTGATAAGATTGAAGGGGGGGTTGTAGATGAGCTGATAAGTGAGCGGGAGCAAGTCAGGAAAGGAGCACTTGCCAAGGAAACACTCACCCCATAAAGCTAATCCTTGAGGGGCTGGGGGTGGGGAGGGGGTGGGGTGCAGGAGGCTGGCTAGGTCAGAGCTGCACAGAACAGGTGTGTAGGGGCTAACCACCAAGGACATCAGCCATGGGTACTTGGAAGGAGGAAAGGGGGTACCCACCCTGAATCTTCAGTCTTTCCCTTACCCTTCTCTGTCTACACTGTCCTCTTCAATGGGAGGAGCATAGACAAGCAGCTGGGTGGGGACCAAGTGGTCCCTTGTCCCATCTCCATCTCAGTTTGCAAAACAAAGATTTGTCTTTCCCCTTCTGACTTTCTTCCTAGACTATATTGTGTTGCTATCCTCGTCCCCTTTCACCTCTTCTCTTTGTACTCACCGCTCTCTGTACCCTCTCCTCCAGGCAGCAGCCTCCCCCGGTACTCAGCACAGCGCAGGCATGCCACCTCACCGTCAAGCCCAGGAGCTCTTTCAAAGCAAAACAGCCTGACCTCTTATTTTGAGGTAATAAGAAGTAAATATACTCAGATTTCAATTTTTGAGAAATAGACTGTCACCCCATCTGCTCATGAAAATCTAGGAAAAGGATATAAGCACACTGTGTGTGAATACTATATTAATGCTGATTATCATTAGATGGTGGAATTATTAGGGGGTCGTTTCTCTGTACTTTTTTATATTATATACGTTTTTAAGAAGAAGAAAAGGAATTGTTGGTTTCTGCACGGTTTACTTTCTTGGGTGCTAGGAATCAGGCAAATGAATGGGGACAGAGTTAAGTAGTTGATGCTGGGCTCAATCTGCTTCTTTCTACTCAGCTTGCCCCTCTCTCTGCTGCCCTCCCCATTCATGTCTACAGAGCTTCTCTTCAGGCCAGGCAGCCAAGAAGCTCCACCCCCAAAATAGCCAGGAGGAAATTAGTGATTTTATTTTTTCCATTCATGCATAATTCTCTAGATCTGAGGGTCAATGGGTGCAAGGCTGGGGTAAGCAGGGCCACTGCCTCTTTATACCTTTACTCCACCACCATAAAGTCCTTCTATGTCATTCCCCAGTCTCCTGTCACCTGGCTTGGGCCACCAGGAAGTAAGTCTGGTATATGTGGAGCAGGCTCCATGTGAGCACACTCACTAGCCTGGGTTACCTCTGTGGGATGAAAGTTCAGCCCTCATCTGTCCTCCCATTTCTGCAGTTCCTTCTTGTAGAAAAGGTATGCGTTTATGCACAGACACTTTTACCTGCATTTGCATGCATTTTTCTAAGCAAAACCTGCATGGTCAGAAAGACTGGTATGTGTTTCCCCTGCCCCAGTGCCCAGTCTGCCTCTCAAGGCCTGTATCTCTTTCCATAGGAAAGCCCTTCATCTTATCTCCCAAACCTATGCCCCCCCACAAGCCCCCTCTGCTAGCAAATCAGTAGGTCTAGCTCATGAACAGAACGGGTGGAGGCATGTTTTCTTCAATTCCATTATTTGGGGTCTTTGACTCCCTGTCATACTGCCTTCGTTCTGTACACTTGAACTCCTTCAACCAAGCAAAGAGTTTGAAGATGCACTTGAACCAGCTTCTTCTCCATATCTGAGAGTATAAGAAGACACAAAAAAGGGGAAGAAGGTATTTCATCGTGGAGGCGAAACGGTAAAGGCCAGGACCAAGGGAAAAATGAGAAAAGAATGGCCTTGTCTTGGAGACAGGACAGCCACCTCTCTCCTGCCACCACTGTGTGTGTGTGTGTGTGTGTGTGTGTGTGTGTGTGTGTGTGTGTGTGTGTTTATAGTACTACCCAGGCACTTTTCCATTCTAGACAAGCATTCTATCACTGAACTGCATCTCTAAACTTTAAAAAACTTTATTATTTTGAGACAGGGTCTCACTGTTTCCCAAAGTGGCCTTGAACTCATTCTGCAATCAAGGCAGGCCTTGAACATGCAGTTCTCCTGCCTCACCCTTCCCTTTGGGGTAGCGGGAAGTTCAGGGCTCCATCACCTAGCCTAGCTCTCTGCCTCTGTCTCTATGCACTGTCCTGTCTCTCTGTCTCTTTTACACACACACACACACACACACACACACACACACACATGTACATATGCTTCCATGCTTCCTCCCCCTCCCCTTATGCCCTGGTTCTTATTCTCAGTTTTCAAACACTCCAGTTTCATGTAGAGCACTAGGCACATGCCCAGGACTTGACAATCCTCATTTCTACATCTGGTTTGTGCCTCTTCTGTGCCAACTACTTTTCATAGAGAAAAGCTGTGTGGAATTGTGGGAAGATATCACATTTAGATTCAAAAGCACTGCATGGAGAGTCTTGTCCTGTTCATTGATGACTGATTTGAATGAGAGATTTGTTTTACCAGTGAACCTGTTTCTCATTTACATAATAGATTTGAGAAGGCTGTTGCTTTGGAGTGCTGGTGGCTGTGTAGATGCAATTATTTCATGGATGTCCTGGAGCTCTGCAAGTTCTTAAGCCCTTTGGGTTATAATCTGTAGGATAACCCATTGTGACCATCAGAGAACCCCTGCCATCCTGGACTCTTCTGGAATGGTGTAATGATGTGGAATGGGAGTTAGATCTGTGGCTGTGATGTCACAGAACACATGAAGTAAGAGGTCCTATGGAAGAGAAGGAGGAGAAGCAATGCTGGAAATGGGTAAGGGCTGAGACAGGGAACGGGGTGGTGCTCAGAACTGGGGAGTGGGGCCAGGGGCAGTGGGTGAGAGGGGCCCATGACCTCCCTGGGTTCCCAGCTCTGCAGGGCAGCGTTCCTGACAACTATCTTGCTGCTGTTGGTGCAAGTAAAGGTGGCGAAGACTCTGAAGGGTAGCTCAAGTCACAATGATGGGACTCAGAAAGAGAAAATGTCCCCTGCAGGTAGGTGAAAATGAGGCGGGGGGGGGGAGGGGGTCAGTCTAGAAGAAAGGAGTGGATTGACTTGAAATCAGATTCCAGTAGCTAATTAGGTCAGGATCAAGCTAGGATGGGTTTGGATTATAGGAGATAACACCCACTTCCTACTAGCATAGTATGAAGTAATAGCGTCATATAAAAAGGTCTGGTTTTAAAAAGAACCTTAACCAGGCTATAGCCTAGGCTAGCTGCAGCTGCCTGCAGCTTCTAGCAGGTAGAATGAGTGTTTGTCCAGAAAGAGGGTCTTTATCTTCTAGTTTGAAGGAGTCCCTCACCCATCCAGTAGTGTAACACTTCAGAGGAGGGAACGGGGGAGAAATGGGGGTTGTGTGCGTCTGAGATGTGGTCGCGGTTCAGTTGAGATCTGAAAAGCACACAAGACGGAGCATCACCTCTCCCGTCACCACCAAGAAAATAGTTGGCAATTGGCCCCCACTTTCTCTCCGCCCTGATCTTCTCCCTACTCTGGTCCAGGCCAGAGCAGGAACTAGGGCCGCCCATCTCTGTGACTTTCCCCTGTTCCAGACCAGGGACAAGAGCAGTTTGAAGAGCACTTTGTGGCCTCATCGGCGGGTGAACTGTGGCAGGTGATAGACATGGCCCAACAAGAAGAAGACGTGCTCTCCCAGGCAGCAGCCCGCCGGGGTCACCTCTTCAATCTAGCCTTCTGCTTCTACCTGGCCAGCATCATGGTTTTTTTATGAGACACTTTGAGGTAGAGGCTGTAGTCTGGTTTCCGCATGAAAACCTGAACATCTACCTCCCCTTCGTGATTGCTTACTGACCTCCTCTCCCAGATGGCTCCGGGTCATGCCTCCTCAAAATGCACACCCCACTCCCTGTCTCTAACCAGGACCTAGCCTCAGGGTGCAGCAGCAGAGATTTCAACTGTCATTGACCACCTGACTGCCACCTCAACCCAGAGTTTCATGTCCCAGGGCAGATGACAGCAGATCCACACCCTTCTCTTTTAAACCATGCCCCAAACAGCAGTTTAGAGGGAGGAGGCAGGGACAATAAAATAGCAATAAAATCCTGAAAACAACTGAGAATAGCTTTCTGAAACTCAGCTTTTGGTTCTCTGACTGGTCTGTTTAATTGCCAGGCCTTTGGCCCACTAACTGACCTTCAGACCCACCAGATCCCCAACTGCTGGTTCTTTTCCGGTGTCCATGAAACCGTTCTTGGCACTTTTCCCTCTTATCCTTTCTGACTTCTAGGAACAGAACATAGCAGGAAATCATTAAGAGATGGCAGAATGGGCTGAAGAGATGGTTCAGTGGGTAAAATGCTTGCGCTTGCTGTGCATATGTAAAAACCTGAGCTTGAATATCCGGACCTCCCTTAAAGCTAGATGAGGTACTACACGTTAAGTAATCCCATAATTCCTATAGCAAAGCATACACGCACCTGTCTCAAAACAAGGTGGAAGGCAAGGACTGACATCCAAGATTGTTCACTAACACTGGCATGCGCATGCGCACCCTCAACCCACAGGGGTGGGAGGGGAACAGAAACCAAACACCAGCTTTTATTTTGGAAAAACAAGAAGCAGGACTGACTTCTTGGATGGGGATGTTGCCAGAGGAGGTCCATACATCTTTATTGTGGTTTCTTTGGCACCCAAGTTACCAGAGCTGGCAGCGGCTAGAGGGGTTCATGAGGGTGCCACGTGGACAGTGGAAATGCTTGGCAAAGGCTGGGGTGTTGCTGAGGGGCCCATGGACTCGAAGGCTGGGAGGGCTGTGAGTGTCCTGAGGATCTTGTGAGCTGGGCTCTCTGCACATCACCTGAAGAGGAAGAGAGGTTAATGAAGGAGCAGAGCAGAACTCAGAGGGTCATTAGGATGGGCTGGATGTAGGGACAAGGGGATAACCAGAGGAAGCAAACAAAGAGAAGCAATAACAGGATGCTGCAGGGCCACATGGAGCATTTGCTGCTATGTCTAGGTCATTTAATCTGGCATGAGGAGTGTAGGGAGGAACCTAGACGGTGTGATGATAACATTTAAAAGAGATCGTAGCAAGACCTTGTAGAGCTCTGTGAGGGAGTGTGTGTGTGTGTGTGTGTGTGTGTGTGTGTGCTGAAGAATGGGGGACCATGCCTTTGGACAGAGCACAGGGTCAGAAGCAGCCCTGGAATTGAGGTTTCTAAAGAAGAATGTGGTTGGTTATACACTCAGACTATTGTTGGCTCCTTTTTAAGTATTCTTTATATCTGAACATGAGAAAAGAACAAAAATGGGCTTATCTTTTGGAGACAGGAAGATATTTTTCTTTTGGGGGTAGGATAGGGAGCAAGTTGCTGGATTTGGTAGAGGAACCTGTAACAATCTAAAGGATGATTCCCAAGGGACAGATGAGAAAGGATGCCAGTGAAGGCATATCATGGAGCAAAGTTCTTTCAGCATCAGTGACAGGGTCCTTAGCCGACATGAAGCAAGCTGTGGAGAGAGGAGGAAGCTGCTTACCTGGGTGTAGCTTCGGAAGAACAGCTGATAGGGGCTGAGGTCCTGGCTGGGCAGAGTGGTCTCCCCACTATACTGGACTAGTCTCTTGCTGTATGCCTGAATATGGGGATGGGATAGAAAGTTCCCTTAGTTTTCAGACCTTTGGGTATTTCTAGTCTGATGCCAGCTATATAGCACCCCAAACAAGTTCCTGAGACTTCTTATCCAAGTGTGCACTGATGTACTGGTCTGAGCCAAGAAGAAAGGGTACTTACCAGAAGACCTATAGATGTCCTAGAAGGTGGGGATCTACAAGGTAGGAGGGGGATCCCAAGTTGCCATCTGTTCAGTGGGAATGTGAAGGGCAGAAAGCTATGCAACTATGTTTGCATGAGGGACAGCGGAAGGAAAAGTGGAGGACAGGGCCCAGGGCACACCTGGAATGCAATGGCCAGGCCTCCGATGTCAGCAGCGTTTTCCAGGAGTGTGTGAGAGCCATTGAAGGAAGCTGTGCTGGGAAAGGGGAAGGTAGCATAATGGCGCTCCAGACATAGAAGTGCCTCCTGTAAGGCATGGGTGTCACAAGCTGGGCAGCTCCCGGGGAGCACTGTTAAAGAAAGAGCAAGAAAATGAACTAGTGAGGGATGGTGGAACATGGGGAATACCACAGACTGGCTTGGCTCCCAGGAACGTGGAGCATTTCTGAGGCTGTCGCTCCTGGAGCTTTTGAATAACCCTCTTCCCTCCACTTCTCCTTTGAGCCCCTCCCTGATGATCCCTATGGCCCTTACCTCCCGAGAGCCCATTACTCACAGAGTTGGTAGAAGATGTGCAACAACTCGTGGGCCATGATGCTACCAGCTGCGCCAAAGTTCACAGCTCTGTGGAGGCAAGGGCTTGTTTTACTTCCAGAGTCTTTCAGCATTTTATATCCCAATTTTCCACCCACAAATCTCATCCGTTCTAATACTTGTTGATACTTGAGATTGAGATTGACCCTATTAAAAAAAAAAAAAAAAAAAAACTCACCTTCAGACAATGATCCATACCTGGGGTAGCCAGGGTGGAAGAATGGAGGTTGGAGGAGGCCAGCTGGGAAGACCGCCACATGGTCAGATATTGAATAGTAAGCACTGACCCCCCAGGGAGACACCTGCCATCTGCATAGAGAGTACACGCAAACACAGCCCCATCATTTGCCATCCTCTCAAAGCACGTCTAGCCTCTCCCTACCATAATCATGGATTTTGTGGTTAGATCACAGTCCCCATTCCCAGCCTATCTCTGGCATGGGGGTTCTGTTCTCATACCTGTGATAGGGAAAAGGCTGCAAGAAGCTCTGAACGTTTCTGCCCCGGAGGGATCGGACACAGCTCAGGACAGACTGCAGGAAACTAGGGCCAAGCTGTATCTGGGGGAGAGGAACAGGTAACTTGGATGCATAGAGACAAATATAAATGGATGAGGGTATATGCTGCTGGGGACATTTAAACTTAAACAGATAAGTCTTGATATGCCAACACCCACACATAAGCAGAGACTACATTATCTCATATTGCTACAAACTTCTCACACATCTCCACACGGAAAAACGCACAGACACATCAATCACATAATGCATGTGTGCATGTGTATGTGTATTCGCATGGTAGCCCTAGTGAGTTCCAGGGCTGCCTGTAAGACCCAGCCAGCACCAGGGCAAAGAAGAGGTTGGTAGGAATCTCCTACAGAAAATGGATTGCGCTGCAGACTCAGATGGTCCGGAAGGTAAGAAGTCAAGGTCAGAGGAGAGCTTGGAGGAACAAGGACTCACATCACTATATTCCTGCTTGGCCAGCTCTGGCTTCAGGGCTCGTTTGGGAGCTCCCATCTCCACCTGCAGCTGGGTGAGCTGCAGAGAGACATAAAAGTTTGTATGAACCCAGCATTTCCTTGGAGACCCTCAGTCTTCAACTGTCACCCAGATGTGTTCCCCGTGGCTTTTTCTCTCCCCTTCATCCCTATGTGGTTTTGTTTCTTTTTTTATCTTTTTGAGACAGGTTCTCCCTGTTGCCCCAATTGGCCTGGAACTCACTACCTAGACCAGCCTGAGCTCGATCTCGCAGAGATACACCTGCCTTTGCCTCTTTAGTGCTGGAATTAAAGGCACGCACCGCCATATCCGTGTCATCCTTATATCTTGATTCATTGATGTACTTCACCCCTTGAGTGGTCCCACACTGGCCTGCACTCCCAGCCTTACCCTCTTCAGGGCCTCTTTCCGGGTCTCCTTACTTATCCAAGAAAGATTTTTAAGGCGCATGATGAGGGCATCCTTGATCTCAGCAAATAATTCCATGGCCTGTGGGGATAAGGGAAGAAACAGGGAAACAGGATTAGGATTAATTTGAGCCCTGGTTCTGCCACTGTCCCTTGTTTTGGAAAGGGGCCTTGACCCCGAGAGCTACCTGCCCCAAAGGAGCTATTAGAGAAGGGACAGAGCTCAGAAAGGCAGCCGGAGGAGCTGCTGTTCCCACCTGCACCCGGGGCTTTGGTGCACACCCTCCCACTGTTAAGGCATATTTCCTCTCTGTCTTAGCTTCCCAGCAAGCTGAAGTTTCCAGTCATACAGGCTGTGCTGCTGCTCCTGATCGCTCAACTGTTCACTGTCTTATGGGTACCCTTTCTTGGTAGAAGAAACTGAGTGACAATATCAGAAACTTGGACTCTGGCATCAGAGTGATTGAGTTCAAGTCTGCTATTTATTGGCTACAGCACCATGACGAAGTCATTTAACCATCTATGGCTCAGTCCCCTCTCCTATTAAATTATGACAATAATTGGAGTTCAGTAAAATACTTCATGTAAAGTGCTTGTAAGAGAAACCACTACTCACCAAATCCCCCACTCATTCACAAGTTACTTATTTGCACTCCTTAAGATTGGATCATCCAGTGTTCATGAAATATCATGTGTTATTCAAAACTTTTAGATAAACAAGGAGGGAGGGAGGGAGGAGCCTTAAAGGTCAATGAATTTGATTTTCTCTTTTTATGTTTGAAGAAATACAAATCCAGAAATGTTCAGTGACGTGTTGAAATGACATGTTCAAGTGAGGTGTTAAAACGAATGTAAGTTGTGGATACTTTGTGTCCTGTAGTTGAACTATTTGCCCAAGAGATGGAGCAGACCTCTGGTTCCCCCTTGTTGACTTTCTTTTCTATCTAATTCCCAGTCTTGCGTGACACAGGGAGGTCCACAGTCCACAGAACCAGGGCAGGGTGTGTAGGGTGAGAAGAGTAGAGAGATGCAGAGAGGGGAAAGCTCTCACATACAGCTCTTTGGGTGCTTGGGCCGAAGGCCTCACGAACAAACAAAGCCGCCAGGGTAGGCTCGAAGAAGGCGCCTGTCTCTTCAACACACTTCATCCATCGTGGGTGGGCTGGCTGCAGAGACACACTGGAGTAAGTGAGGTTCTGCCTAGGCCTCCGTCCTCTCCACTTTTCCATGCCATTCCTGTTTAGACCTTCATCCCAAAGGATGTTCTCTTTGCTGGACTTTAACATTTTTATTTCCAGGGATGGAGAGATAACTCCATCAACAAAGTGCCTAAGGATGTGAGTTCAGACCACCAAGTCCCACATAAAAAGCCAGGCGTAGAGACTCTCCCGTGGAATCCCAGCTTTAGGTAGAGTGGAGAAGACAGAGTCCTGAAACTCATTGCCTGACTGTCCAGCCTAGCTGAATCAATGCCTTTCAGGTTCAATGAGAGATCCCATCTCTAAAACTAAAGGTGGAGAGTGATAGAGGAGACATTTGATGTTGACGTCAGGCCTCCATACCTATGCACACGTATGTGCACACGTTACTCACAAAGCAACACAAACACACAAAACATTTACTTCCCTTTATCATGTTCTCTGGCAATAAATACCCTCTGCTGCTCATCGGTAAAGAGCTCGCTTTTTGGAGACTTCAAGACTAATGGTGGTGGGCCTGGTTCTACAAACTGCCCAAGCTTGTTGCCTGTTGGTATGAAAGCAAGGCCTTTAGGAGGTATGAAAGTCTCCTGGGAAGGGAGGGAGGAGCAGTCATTTCTCTTACTATAGCAGGTCTGTTACCCACCTGGGCCCCAACCCACTACACAAATGGCCCAGGAGTCCCACCAATGACTCCTTCAGAGCCTTCCTTGTTCAAAACGGGGACTGGAGACAAAAATCATTTTTCTCTACCTAATTCATACCTGCTCCTGAAGTATATGTATTATACTGTGAGATCTTAAAGGTCAGTAAACATAGGCATTAGGTGACACATTGTTTGCTATGAAAAGAGAACAAAGCAAAACACAAGTGACTAAGTACATAGTTCAGAGAACTGGGAAACTTATAACCAATCAGGGAAAGAAAATCAAATGAGAAGATGGAAGGCTTTAACTTGAGAGATGTTTTGAGTTAGCAGTATGAGAGAGAACAGTGGCATGTTTTTCTAGCAATAGGGCACAAAAGTTAACAACAGAGATGCTGGGGGAGGTTTCAGCAGTGGGCTTAAGTGGCTTAAGAGTTAACCAGGGAGTAAGCCCAGAGATATCACAGGGTGAACAGAAAAATACATTCAAAGAGCCAGGGAAAAGGCTTCAGGGAGCTGACATAAGTGAGCTGAGCTAATATGCTAATTTGGATTAGGAGAGATGAAATCATAAGAATATTTCTGTAACTTATTTCCTAAAGATCTGTATACCCGGAATGTGGGATAGCTGTCTCTAACCCTCACACCATGAGCTCAGTTGAGCCTAAGATTTAAGAGGTACCTGTGGGGGCATCCCACTAGAAGAAAGAAAATGGATGACTATTGTGTTAATGAATAGGAAACTCCTGGGCCGGTCTGTTAGGGACTTCATTTTCAAGGTTGCTGTAGATAGACCTGACCACCCATATTTGAATGTTCCAGTCTCTAAGCCTTAAGGTCCCCTGATATATTTACTTGTGGGAAGAAAGGGCTTATTTTCTCTCTATGGCATGCTAATTGGAGTTTTGTAATATAACAGATGAAATGGAAACTGACGGTAAATATGGGACTGATTGCCATGACTGGGTCAAGTGGAGGCTGTGTCGGTCACCGTCCGTGTCCGTGCTGCTCCGTAGGGCATGGTTTTCCGACTGCCTTTCCTTCCAGTTACAGATACACACAGGCAGGAGGAAACAGCATCAACAGGAGGCTAACTGGAGTCCAGCAGGGCAAGTCTACTTCTCTTTTCACACCTCCTAGTTCTTGACATGATCCTTGATCCTCTTTCTTGTTGTATGACAATTTGTTTGTTCAGCGTCTTTTGCTATGGGACACAGCGACTCAAGAATATAGATACCACTCAGACAAGTACCTTAGCCATCTCTTCAGACTTGGAGGGGTGGAGGGTGCTACACTGGTTGGAGGGAATGACGAATTAGAGGATGAACAAAATCTCCAAAATACAAAGGGTGGAAGAAAAACCTCAAATGCAAGAAAATGAAGCCTAATGGATTCATTTCAGGGTAATGGGAAAAAAGTTATAGATATATCACCTCCAAACCATGAATAGTAATAATAATACAAAAAGAAAGAAATCAAGCCTCCAAGAGAGTTTACAGGGAAACAAAATGTTGGCTAATATTCAATAGAGAAAAGGTAGAAATTAGATATTACAGGCTAGTTGGGGACCTATAAGGACTTTTGGGTAAAATTCTCTAATGAATCATTAAAGGGATGTTGTGAAGGCACGAAAAATAATGTGTAACTATTAAAAGACCAAGGTTGGGTCACTGAGTACTACAGTGTCAAAATAACTAATTCTTCTGTTTATAAAGCTCATTAAACTGGAGTATAAGACAGACTAGGACCTACAAACAGAAACGAGCCCTATAATACCATAACTGGGAACTATGGTTCCATGTCGAAGCCCAGGACCACAGCAAACTGGAGAGTACACCCGGCAGAAAAGAGCAGCGTCAGTGAATAGGGCCAAGCCTCCATGAATGCGCACATGCACACATACAGACTGGAGATATGAATATCAGAAAACTATCCCCTAACTTTTGAATGCTTAGAGTAGTTCCAAGTTGGCAAATCACTTTAAACACCAAAAAAACTATCTGTAAATTTTGTCCTGAAGGACCATCACAATACTGCCCCTGAACACAATATCCAGCAATTACAAGTGGGAGTTATTAATGTAAACCCCTGTGCTAGTTTTAACAAACCAGTTGTTAAAAACAACAAAAGAAACAAGAATAATGTCTGGTCTGCCTTCCTCACAGATTTGAGGACCAAGTGACATAATTCCTTGAAAGTACTCTGTATAGTTCAAATTCCATTGGAATGCCAATAGCATGACTCTGTAAATTCTATTGCCCTCTTCTGGCATTATCTTAACATCAGAGAAGCATCCGGTAAAACCACGAATTAATGCTAGTAAGTTAGATGAAGGAATCAATGTTGAATGACAGTGTAGTGCGAGTGGACTCCTGTCTGGTTGAACCATAACTAAGCATTGTGATGGTGACTCAGCTGATTTGACCTTTCCTGACCTTCTATGAGGATCATAACTGCTCCCCACCTCATATTCCTCTTCTCCATTTACTCTTTTGCTCTCCTCCCTAACACCACCCCCAGCATATTTTGTTAATTTCATTTTCTTTCCTCCTCCACTGGAATATATAAACTCTAAGGCAGAAACACTTGTCTATTTTGTTTACTTCTGTTTAATATGTGCCTAAAGAAGCACTTTTCATATAGTTGGTGCTCAATGAATATTTATCACATAGCCCACCTAATCATGAGTGATGAAATATACCTGCAATCCCAGCAGTTGGGGAGCTGAGGCAGGAGGATTACAAGTTGCAGGCCCGGCATGGTAATACAGTAAAACTCTGCCTCAAAACATTGAAAAGAATAAAAAAATCACATAAAAGAATCGATGAATCTATAGCTAAGTCAACAATAGGCTGACTTGATGCCCTTGTACCTGCAGGAACTAATTAGTAGTTCAAATTAAGAAACATTGAACAAAAGTTGCAGATGACCCAAGGCTGCAAAGGAAAGGGAACAGATAGATTGTTTAAACAAAGGCTTAAATCGCCTTAATAAATTGGGATGATGGACTGAATATAAATAAACTGAATAGAGGCAAATGTGAGTCAAATCTTGCTTTTACTGACCTAAATCTAGCCTCACATGTTTCTTAAAAGAAATACCTCCTGGGGGCTGGAGAGATGGCTCAGCGGTTAAGAACACTGATTGTTCTTGCAGAAGACCTGGGTTCGAATCCCAGCACCCACATGGCAGCTAACAACTGTATGTAACTCCAGTTCCAGGGGATCTGACAGCCTCTTCTCTCCTCTGAGGGCATTGCACGACACGGGTGCACTTACCTACGTGCAGGCAATACACGCATACACATAAAATAAAAATAATGAATAAAATATTTTGAAAAAAAGAAGAAAAGAAATATCTCCTTTAGCAGGCATTTCTATTGACCATGTATTCAAAATTAGACAACAAAAGATGGCCAGATAAGAGACTCAGTGCTGTGTTAGAATAAAAATATACACTAGGATTCCTTCTGAGGAACTTAATCAGAAGTCTGTAATGACCATTTTATAGAGCCGAGTATTTTTGTTAAATCAAACCCCCAAATCTGGTGTTACTAATGAGTTCACTATCCTTCTTGCACCATGAGTCAGAAAATCTCATTGCTTACCTTAAAATGTGTTCTTTTAAAATATAAATCAGATAAACTCCCATAAATGTCTTAATTTATGAAGAGAAAAGCAAACATGCTTTAGGTGACCTGCCAGGCCCTCTCCTCTCTGATTTCCACTTCAGTCTTGTCCTGTTCATTCTGTTCTGGTTGCTCCGGCTATTCCCCAGTTCTCAGTCACCCAGGACCTGCCTCAGCAGCAGCACTGGGCACAAGCCTGGCATGCAAACTCCAACATTGCTTTTCAGCTCAGAGCCACCAGGAAGATCTCACATGTCGCACCCAAGTTTTAGCTACTCTGCTTCATGCACTGACCCAATGAGATGAGACAGAAAATTCCATCCTTTCTCTAGATATTGTTTCAGTTTTATCAGATACTAAGAGTTCCTAGTGGTGCTTAAACCCTCTCTGATCACTCTGTCTTAGGAATCCCAAAGAGCATGCGTTGTCTAAACCAGCGTTCACTAGGCACACATCTCTGTCTTTTGTGCTACTGGGACAGAGTCAAGTGGTAATGACATAAACCATAGGAAACACAAAGCTGGAAATGCTTAACTATCTTGCCCTTTATAGAAGAGTTTGCTGGCCCAGTGTCATATCACCCACATATTTTACAACCCTGCCCTGTGTGTATGTGGTTAAAAATACAGCCTCCTTAAGTGGGAAAACCATGATGGAGGGGTGAGACAATGCGAGAGATAAACAATGCCCAACTAGTTTTGAAAACCAGAGGGAACCATAGTACTCTTACAACCTACTGACAAATTATACATAGCAGATCAAGAAATATATGTCTAGGTAAGGTTTATCTGAGAACAACTGGTCTTTGCCCAAGATTTATCTACATGACACACAGTAATTAAAAATACCAGACTGGTGGAACTAACCTTCTTGGGTGTTTAACAGACATACTTTGAAACCTATACTAATTTAGTCAGAGGGACATAAAGGACAGTTTTTGCTCCTTGCCCTCCTAGGTCGACTAGTTCCAGGGGACTTTGAGCATCTCTCAAAATGTCCTACAATGGTGGTGGGTCACCTGTCCTCTTGATCAAGGAACACGAGGAGACCCCACCAGATGGACTTGAACCAGTGTCCAGTCTATAAAAATGATGGTCAACACAGACGAATCATTTCCTCCATGCTTCTAAGCGAAGCCAACCATGTGTATGGCCTTAAACACCCAAAAGGAAAGTATAACCAAAGATTAAAGGGGCCAATATAATTTCATAAGAGTCCATATGTATAGCTTAAGGCTACATAACAAGCGACAATGCCACACAGGTGATAACTTCCATTGAGTTGTTGGCCAAAGTGGCCAAAGGGACTCCCACATAGTAACCCAGCAAAGAACTGGGAAATTGAACAGCAGACCCCAATCTTATCTAAAGGAATATTGACAACTGATTACTGCTAGATGAGGAACAGCTGACCTTCCTAAAACAAAGACCTCTAGATAGGCTGACTAGATTCACCAGAAGGGCAAGTAGTGGGGAATGGCTGAGGGTGCCAACAACACAGCAGACAGTAGCAGGGATATCAGAGTATAAGGGCTTTAGTAGGGGGAGGCAGGCTATGGGAGGGTGCTACCTGGGAAGTGGGTGTATAAACAAATTAATTAAAAAAATTTTTTAAATTCTTCAAAGCATAAAAATTTGCTCTTTAATAATTGGTGGATGTGAAAAACATTACCACTGAAACCTACCTGATGACTTTATATCCATGCTTAGATGCCAAGGAGCTCAGAAAGTAACGGAGTGCAACTAGTAATAGTGAGATATATAGAAATTAGAAATGCATGTGCATCTTAGTGTCAATTGTATTGAAAATGAATTTTCCTGTATGAAACTGTGTATTTTAATAACGAAATGGAGATCTTTTTTAAAGGTTAAAACCTCATTTAATTTTATGTCTTATAGGGTTTACATTGAGTACAATATTTTTTACAGCCAATTTTGAAGAAGATGGATCTTAGCTCTGGAAATTGTTATTGAATATGTCAGTGTTGTTGTAATGAAATTCTTCTTCTGACTGTGTGGTTATTAAATAAATAAAAAATACAGCCTCATGAACCAAGCACATCTATTTTGGCACCTGCTTCTTCACTGATGAGCAGTAAAATCTTGAAGTTACTTATCTTTCTTGTACCTATTTTTTTCATCTGAAAAATGGGAATTAAAAACCTCAGAGCATTTCTGGGAGGATTAAGTAAAATAACCTACTGAATGGTGTACCTGATGTCTAACAGTGATATATCAGATGTATGTCATGCCACTTTTTGTACTGTTGAGAAGGGTAAAGCAGCTTCTCCAAGATCATATTACCATACCCTGGGAGAACCCGGTATAGCTTTTACAATTATACACCCCAATGGAAAGGTCAGTGATTTCAGGATTTATAAACCTTCTACATTCTTTGAACATGAGTCTCAGGTTGACATGATTGTACCGTCCAAGAGATGACCTCATGCCATGGTGCTGGCATTTACAGGAAACTAGTTATTTGTTGCCAGGAAGTTTGAAGTTGGGGTTATGCTCTGCTTCATCTGATTAAGTGATAGGTTAGGCAGGAGCTCTATGAGAACCTGCCCCCCACTGAGTGACCATCCTAAGGAGGAACGGTCTATACATAGTACACTAAGGAAATACCCTGGCCCTGAAGCCATCCTATCAGAGTGCAGAGCTGTGCCCTAACAACTTGCTAGCTATGTTACTATGGTCAAATTCCTTAAGAGTTTTACATCCATGACTCCACCTTTAAGGCAAAGCTAAGATGATATCCATGTTACCTCATAGAATTTTGAGGATTAAGCCAGTCAATGAAGTGAATTTTCAGAGAAATGACTGACATTTTAAACTCTGAATAAACAATAACTACATTTCCGTCTCTGTGAGTTCATTTCCCCCTCTCTAAATTCAACATGTGTGTGTGTGTGTGTGTGTGTGTGTGTGTGTGTGTGTGTGTGGTGTGGTTGCTCACGTGCCATGGTGCAGGTGTGGAGGTCAGAAGACAACCTCAGGTGTCAATCTTTGCCTTCCACCTTGCTTGAGACAGGATCTCTGCTGTTTGCTGCTACACACACCAGGCTACCTGGCCCACGAACTTCCAGAGGGTCTCCTGCCTCTGTTTCCCATTTTCCCATAGTAGCACTGGGATTACAGATGATCATTACCACAACTGGCTTTATGTGGCTTCTGGGGATTTGAACTCAGGTCCTCACCCTGGCCTAACAAGCACTTTAGCCACTGAGTCATCTCTCCAGGCCTCAAGAAATATTTTGAAAGACTTTTAAGGTAGAGAAATGGTCCACAAATTAATAAGAAAAAAAGTGATTTCTTTTCAAGACTATAAACAGGCCACTGGGGTTAAGATGTACCCAAAGTATTAGACATGTCCACTTGCATTTGAATGCATCTGACCTAGGATCTCAAGGATTTTTCTAAAGGAAGATCTGTACATCTCAGGTAATGCAACCAACTCTGGTTTATTCAGAACATTTCTTATACAGTCCCCTCCTCAGATATGTTATGATCTTCCCTAGGAAATCCATTTACAACCAAACAGATCCCACTGGATCAGAGATAAATTCTGTGATGCACATTTGAACATCAAACAAACATGAAACCCTCTAGACCAAAGGCAACTGTATGCCCAATGTCTTTCATCCCAAGAAGTCTTAAGCTTTAGATCCACTTCCTCAAACCATAGGGCTCAGGAAGACAGCAGATTATTTATAAGCGACGACAAAGGAGGACCTCTCCTTGATAATTTCGCTTTAATATTTAAATTCTAATGCTCAGCAATGCACAGAAGTTGATCTCTTACCATATCTTGGTTCTCAAGATATACACTGTCTTTCCATGCTGCCTGCTTCCTTAGTGGGGTGAGAGGGCTTTCCTCTAATGGCTTCTTCCCTCTGGACATATATCAATAGTTGTCCCAATATGCTAAATACATTGTGTTTTCTCCTCACCAGGGGTGGGCGCTCAGTCAACTCCCGTAGTTTCTGACTCAGCTCTCTGCGTGCCTCCCGGAATTTACTGTCCAGAGCTGGAGAAAGGGTCTCCACCAACCCCAAGATCATGTAGCTCTGCATCATATCCCTATGGAGACAAAATACCCCACCTAAAGTTAAGGCTTGTAAGGATGCACAGGGGAAGATTCCCTTTAATAAGTAAGCTTGGTATTCTTGGAGGCAGCCCGTTCTCTTCCGTATTTAGACAAAATAACTACCATGGCATGCAAAAACATAAAGAAGAGTCTTTCTTAGTATGGCTTGGGGAGTGACAGAAAGAACAAAAGAGAGGCTGCCTTCACAAGTCACTGGGAGAGAAGGAAAGAGTTGTCTGTTTCCACAACCAAGAAACTTCAGCTCATCTGACAATATACTCCCTAAACAAAACAGAGCTGTGTTTGTGAGTCTGTGATTCTGTTGGCCTGCTGGCTGCTCTCCTTCTAGGTACACATATAAAACTGCTGAAGTCCACATGATGACTCCTCTACCTTGCTCATAATGGGTTTCTAGACATTGTTGCCACTCAGCTTCTATTATGAAAGAGAGAGAGAGAGAGAGAGAGAGAGAGAGAGAGAGAGAGAGAAAGATTTGGGTCTACCTTTAGATGGTGGCTACCCAGGCATCAGGGAAAACCAAGAGCCCAGTACAAAACCATACTCTCATGCCCTCATGGTTTGATTTTTCTGATCACAGCAGAAACAGTCTTAGAAATTCTTTCCCACGAGGGCTACAGAATTCTCCTAAACAACTGGGAGATGGTCCTTCTTCAACGTTCCTCCTCTCAACAAGATTTCCCATTTCCATCTCCCCATACCAAACACCTCTTCCTTCTGCCCATACCCCTTGGCTACTGAGAAGACATAAATGCCCTCAGATCTTGCTGGAAGCTAGGCATTCCAGCATTTCCTATAGAACAGGAACTCTTAAAAGCCTGATGCTCCGTTCCTGGAAGATGCCTTATCTTGTCTGACCCCTGTACCCTTCATTTTGTGTGTTATATAATCCTCATGTCCCCAAGCCTTACATACTTCTTGATTCTTGTTTCTTCTCGTGCCATCCACTCCCTACTTGTCTCTGTCCCCATGTGTAGCAATCCCTCTCAACCAAAGGTGTCCTTATTCCCTGAGACTTGGGTGATCCCAGCATCCTTCCATCCCCACTGCCTGCCCATCCCAAAGAGGCAAACCTGTTTGTGAGCAGCTCCTCTTCTACCAGTTGGGACATGTTTCTCAAATAGTCTAGGTCATGGACCACCAGGGGCTGGGAGGGACTCAAGGACATCGGCGTGAATGTTGCTTGTAAGCAGGACAACCAGTCGATGGCAGGGGCCATTTCCTTAAAGGAAGGACACAAAGCTGAGGAGAGGGAAAGGAAGAAGGAAAGGGACAGACGGAGAGTGGGGGGTCCGTGTTGGGGAAGGCCTGGAGAAGACTGAAGTTGTAGAAAATTTGAGATGAAAAAGAATTAAGGGGCCAGCAAAGATGGCTCAGAGGGTAAGGGCACTTGCCACCAAGCCTGACCAACTGAGTTCAGTTCCCCAGCTAACATGATGGACGGTGAGAACCGACTCCTGCAAGTTGTCCTCTGACCTTCACGTGGGTACCTTGGCACACTCATACCCCACCCACCTCCTGACGAATGAATGAATGAAGTTTTTTAAGTAAAGGAATTAAGAGCACTAAGGGAAGAAGACAAAGTACAGGGCCGGGAGGGAGTCGGAAGACACCGTTGTGCACACAGTGATCAGGCCTTCAGTTCCAGGCACCTGCAATTCATTGATAGTGACCACATGGAAGAGCTTGTCTTGTGTCTGCTGCTGCTCTAGGGGTCTCAGAAACCGGAACAGCCGTGAGGTAAAGAAGATGGACCAGGAAGCATGTTGCTGCACCTTCTCCGGGTCACCTCCAAGCAAAGTTCCTAGTCGATTTAGGTAGGTCAGGTATTCCCGCAGAATCTAGAGGAGGGCAGCTGTGGTCACAGAGGCTAGAGGCCCCTGCCTTTCCCCTGGCTGCAGAGAGCAGGCTTTGTGTGACATCCTACCTGGGCATAGATCTTCTGCTCCTGCTCTTGCTTGAGGAGAATGTCAAACTCCGGCTGGTCTATCTGTGCACAAGAGAGACTGGAGAGAAGGGGGGAGCAGAGGGGATGGAGAGGGCAGGCATGGGAGACAGGGAGGTACCACGGGTATGGGAAGATGAGGATAAAGAGACGAGAGATAGGCTAAATTATGCCAAGAAAGCAAGGGACTATGGGAAAAGAGTCTAGGTGTGGAAATGTAGAGATGTCCAGCAACGGAGAAGACAAAAACCTGTTCAAGAGGAGGCTATTCCTTGTGTCAAGGTAGATCTTGGGTCAAGGATGCGAGACACCCCGTCAGGTGTAGTATTAAGAGGTATGCAAACTCATTAAACAAGTTGTATATTTTAATACACACTTTCAAAACTTAAAAGTAATGGATTGTCTCATGAGTCCTACAGTGCTAGAGGGGAGCAGTCGGCTTAGAAGAGGTGAGGCTTTGCGTTCAATCCCTGGTGCTAAATGCCACAATGCATTTCATTCTGTTTTATTTTTAGAGTCACAGTAGTTTTGTTCCATTTTGGAAAAAAATATAAACTCAAAGACCACAAATTTAATATTTTCTTCATCATGAATTTTGTACTGATTCATATTTTTAAAGAATATTCATTAAAATGCCACATATCTTGACAATGAGTGTGTGGGACCTGCTAAACTGCATCCCAGGCAAGTGTCCTGTGCACGTCTCCTTAGTTCCAGCTCTGACGTACCCTTGATTTTGAAAAATATTTTCTTTTCTTTCCCTGTTCCTATTTCATTGCCCAACTCCTACTCCAGCCTGTATACATTACTTCTCTCATGAAAAATCTTTTTTATCACATTTTAAGTTCAAAGTTTAGAAAGAAAAGGGCATCGCTGCACTTTTAACTGTCCTCCTGAACTCCAATTCCAATCACTGTCCATTCTTTGTAACTAACTCCAAGTTTTCCGTTCCATTTTCCCATCATTTCCTCCATAAGCTAGGGGCTCTCTGGGATCAAAAGTAACTCCTTCTTCTTGAAGTTCTCCCCCTTTCCTTTGTGTCCCACCCATGGTGGTTCATCCTCCATGTCTGTGACTCTTCTGAGTTCCTTATTCTGCTCCCACTCTTTGTGGGTTCCCTGTACGGCCACTCTCCACCTCCATGGAACTGGCTGAGTGACTCATCTCTTCCACCCCCTGTATTTGTTTTCACACCAAGTCCTGGGAAAGCATCTAGGACCATCAACACTGTTGAAAGTGACCATGGACTCATGTTCAGATCTTTTTCGTTTCTACTGCTATTTATGGACCTCATTTAGATTCCTTAGAAGCTTGATGTTGCCCTCCAAAGCTCAGTCTACTTGAGTTCTGTGCACAGCCATCATAATATTTGAAAGGTCTCAGAATTTTCGGTATTTCATATACAAGTGATTTTCAATTCTTAACGTCCTGGGCCAGCAATGACTGGACACTGTCTTGTATTTTCAGTCCTAGTTTCCCTCTCACTGCTTCCCTCCTAACCCCCAGACCAGTTTAAATGACCCAGAATGCCAATATTTCCCTTGTAATATCATCTTCATCTCCACCTGAGTAATTTAAGCATGTACCAAGGCTCCTCTCTGAGTCTTTCTTAACCACTTCAGATCTTAATCCTCCAAAAGCACATCAGTTAAACTTCTGAGCGCACTCTTTAAAATTGCATTTTAGACTACCTCACACTGATTATCACTTCCTCTTGAATATTCACCACCTACAAAGTAGTGGAATCATTTCTTTACCACAGAAGCCGATACGGAGCACTTCGTTGTTTAGCACAGTAGTGACGGCTCCGTTCTTTATTCACTCGCTCAACAAACATCTGGCGAGGGCCACTAGTTGTCTGAGAAGAACTCTTGTCTGTTGAGGACACAGTCTTTCAGAGTGTTAGGCATTGAGAATGAGGACATGGATGACAGGAGGTTTTCCCGAGCTCTTAGCTAGGGTGTCAGTGAAGACTTATTGGAAGAGATTCTCAAAAGCAACATTTGAAAACATGTAAGAACCTTCTAGGCTGATTGTGGGAGATTGTGACAGGCAAGAAAGCAGCATATGTAAAGAAAAGAGGAGTATTCTTGGCTCTACGTGTGAGTCAGCAGAGCTTAGGGCATGAGGGGAGGGAATGCATGTGGCAGGAGATAAGGCTGAAGAAGAGTGTAAGAGTCAGATCACAAAACTTGCGATGCTTTGCTAAGGATTAGGGACCGTATCTTGATGACTGAGTGATCTATTAAAATGACAGTTTAGAAAGGTCTCTTGGGCAAAACTGAAGAGTAAATAAGGGGAGAGCAGTTCTAGAGACAGAACGGCTAGTGGAGAGGGCTAGGAAATCCAGAGTTGTAGTAAAAAAGGTTCACAGGGCCGCACTCCCCCCAGAGCTGGCCCTGCAGCATCTTCTCTTACTCTTGCCTACTGTCTCTGGATTCTGTGGTAGTATTTTTCCCTTAGGACAGGGCCGTTCCCCACATTGCATATTTGTCTTATCTCCCAGCCTGAAATCTTTTTCTAAGAGAACATAGCCTGGAGTTAGAAACGAGTCCAGGTTCAACTGTGGTTTTGCCAGTTCATCCCTCACCTGGATGACTGGTGTATGTGGAGGGGCTGGATGAGGTCGCAGATAGGCTCTGAAGAATGGAAAGTGGCCATATTGACTCATCAGAAGCCTCAGTGTTCGGTTAAAGTCTAAAGAAGTCCAATTGCCAGAGATGTGCCAGCCTCCAAGCTGAGAAGAGAGACAGGACTGAGCACAGAGAACCGATCCCCAAATGTCTTATTTGTTCCTTCCTCTAGTGCTTTCTAGATTCTGGTTTTTGAGCCCTTTGTTTCCTCTAGAGCTCTACTTCTTTCTCTGCTCTCACTTATCCTAAGTCTCAGTTCTTCATAGAGTGTTTCCATTTCTATCTCCCTCTTAAAACTTGAGAATTCAGAAGAAACAGACATACATTCTAAAAAAATCACGGCATCCCCTAAGCATGCACTGTTCCTATGAACTATGTATCTAAAAAAGCTGATGTCCCAACTTTTCTCACCTCCTCAATAACTTGTCTGAGGGGACCAGCCCCTGCAGCTTCAATGGCATCTGTGTCCATGCAGGAGTTATAAAATTGGAAAGCTTTTTCCTCCCCAGAGCCTGGAGGCCAGGATCCTGAGTTCTCTACAAAGGAAGGAGGGAAGAATTAAAAAAGTGGAGGCCAGTGCAGAGACAAACAGAAGATGTAAGCCACACTCCAACCTTATTGAAATGATCAGGAAAGTTCCCCATGGGGATGTGGGAGAAAGGGAGAGGGAGGGTTGAGTTTGGGAAAATGAGAGCAACATTCAATGTTTCATGGCTCAATTTTGTGACATGAACAAAAAAAGATGAGGAAAGGACTAGAGAAGATGCAGAGACGTAAAAGGGTTGGAGGGAAAAGGAGAAGGTCACGGAACAAGTGGGATGTAGGTAAAGGAGACTCGGGTAGAAATGAAAGGCAGGGGCGAGAGGAATGGAAAAGCAAGGGAAGATCGGGAACCAAGAAGCATCTGCAGAATTTGAGGGAAGAAAATTCATCTGGAAAGATTCAGCAAAGAGAAGAAATAGGAGGCACAGCTCAAACACGCATCCTCTCGACCCCAGGAAACAAACACAATGTAATAATCCAAACACGTATCCTGAATCATCCCCCACTAGTATCTCAGCCCACCCCAGTTCTGTGTGTCTGACTTCTCTCCGTTTTGGAAGGTGGTGTTCATCATCCTGAGCATTTTTTTCTTTTCATTCTGTGCTTTAACTGAAAGTATTCCAAGAGCCACTTCCTCCTCCCTTCCCCATAAATAGGAGACAGATTTCAATTTATACCATCCGCACCTTCTTTAAGTTTTCCTGGAATGAGAGCCCTGCCTATGTTCTATCAAACATAATCCTCGCCTCCATCCTCCGACTTCCTGGGACCCACTTCCAATTTCTTAGTTCCACCTCTTGATTTTCCTCACAGTCTGACAGCTGATTTATCTCCTTTGTAGCCTCTATCTTGAGCAATGCCCTTTACCTCCACCTAACTTGTTTCTCTTGGCATATCCTGTGTGCTGACTCATATTCTTTCCATTACCTACCAACAATAACAAGGCCTTCCTCTCACTTCCTGCCCTGTTAACTACCCCACCTCTTTTCTTTCTCCAGTCATCAATCCTTATTTTCCCACTTACTCCATTTCCACTAGCTTGACACAGCTCCAGGCTTCAGTGGGGACCTAAGAGATCGTTTTGAGAGGCATTGCACAGCAGGCTTTCCATAGTTACGCATAATTTAGGACCATCAAGGTCATCTACAACTCAGTTACCTACTTGCCCAGAAAATATGCCAACCTGTTTCCTTACCTAGTAGTCTCTGCAGCTGGCTTTTGTTCTCCTCTGCCAGCATTTGAAAAGAGTTACTGATCCCATTGGCTGTATCACAGACAAAGCTGAAAAAATCAGTGCAGGGGTCCACGCTGGTGTTCCCAGAGGCCAGGTAATGGGCCAGGAGATCCAAACACACAGGTGTCTCACAGGGACCTGTGAACAACAGTTCAGAGCTAGAAAAGATGAGGGAAAGGGACAAGAGCTCCCCCCAGGGGCTGACACAAGACAGAAAGGCAAAGGTAAGGAAAGAAATGGTTTGACTCATGGTCTGCCCTGGGGCTCAGAGAGGAAGCCATGTGGATGCCCAGGTAATGTAAGGAAAAGGGCCAGCAGGTTAGAGGGTAGAAGCCTCCGGAGCCTGGACTAGGACTTGTGAGGGATGGCTGCCTAGGTCAAGGGATTGCAGGCTCTTCCTTACGAGGACCACAGTTCCGGAAGATGTAGACCCAAAGCACAGAAGAACCAATGACCAGGCCAAAAAGCAGGACAGCAATCATCACTCTTCTGGCTCTAGCCCACTGTCTGCTCCATTCAGCAGGTGACTCTTCTGAAGAGCTCTAGGGGAGGAACCAACAGGAGAAATACAAAACAGGAGTTTGGAGGGGGCACGGAGGAGAGGATGGGGGTCAGTAGAGACAGTACTAGAATCCCTATGTACAGAGGTGATGCTGCTGCGTCTCCCCAAGATTCGGCCTCCTTCAGACCTCTGGTGCATGAGAAAGAAATTCTTCAGGGTAAGAATCAAGCAGGATTTGTGGGAGTTTCGAGATAGAGGAGATGACCCCAGAGTCGTGGAGGAGGCCACTTACCTCCTGGCTCCAGGGAGGTCCCATCCCACTGGTCCGGTTCTGTCCCATCAGCTCTTCCCCGCGTCTGTCCTTCCCCTCCTGACGTGAGCAGAGGAAGGAGGAGGAGGAGGAGAGAAAAACTGTTTCAGGAAGGGGGGAAATGGTAAAGATAGTTTTATCAAGGCACTTTGATGCTCTGTGCCTCATCCCTCCACATTTTCATCTCACAGCAGTATCTGGAGGATGAACCTCTCCCCTGTATATCCATTCTTCTCACCTTCCTCCACCCCTCCCTCCCCTTTCCCTCCTATTCTGGAAGACTCCCCTTAAGTCCGTCTGTTGGCTAAGGGGCAGAATATTTGCACACAGCCACCCTACTACCCCCAACCCCACGTGCTAGCTCTAGAAGGGGATATTTCTCCAGGACACTTGCCATCTGTCTGTGCTTCTCTCTGGCTCCCAGAATCCTCTCTGGTTCTGCTCCAGATGTTGAATCTAAAGACTAAGATTTAGAAAGTGACCTCCCTCTGCCCCCACCCCAGTCCCTGTGGCCTGGAGGAGGGGCACCCCTGACACTCTCTCGCTCTCTCCCCAAATGTGCACTGTTGGCCTCTGGGTGGAGCCTGTTTATCAGTGAGGGTACACTCAGGCCTCCCTTCCTCCCTTATCTCAGTTTCTCAGGGGAGAAGAAGGAGAAGTCTTCCCTCAACAAACAATCTTGCCCCTGTCTGTTTCCCATATTCTGTTCTGTGACTTTGTTCATCATGTCTCTTTATTTCTAGAATATTCTACCCTCTTTTCTTCTCTGATTGGAACCTCTTGGATTCTTTCAGCCCTGGGTCAAATGCCATCTTTCCCAGGAGGCCTCACAGCACCCTGCTCATTCACACTGTTCCCAAGCACACTTCATTGCTTTTCCTTGTGATCCATGCATGGCCCTGCTGGTTGTACGCAAAGTGCTACAGTAAAAAGATCACTCAAGGAACAGACACTAATCTGCTAATTATTAGCTCTGTGACAATAAACAAGCCACTTGAACTCTCAGGCAGGTGAGCAAGTTTTGTCCTCTGGAAAATGAAAGTGATACTTTCCTATGCCTGTCTCGCAGGGTCTCATACCTGCTGTAAAAGAACGGAGCTCTCTTGAATCTCTTTCTTTATTCCGCACTCAATTATGCTGATAGCATGACTCTTCGTGTTCTTATAGTTTGAAAAGCATTTTGTGAAAGGTACTGTATCCCTTTTCCATCATGTCTCTCTAAAATGCTTCATTGACATTTATAGAAATGGATGGGATTTCAAGCCCAAATTCTCCTTCCCACATCATCCTGAGCTCTCATCAGAAGTCTCAGTAAAGCAAGCATATTTCTGGGAGCAAATATTTCACCTCTGTCCTCTGTGTCTTCATCATAGGCTATGGGATGTGTGAACATGCTAATACTAAGGACATGATGTAAAACTTCCTAATTATATCAGCAGTGTGGGTTCATTGGGAGGGAGATGGGTGTTGAAGGATGGCTTTGTAATTTGCAAAGTAAAGCAAAGCTACTCTGTCAGTAGGACCCTGTTATGGAGTACCAGAACAAAGTCATAAAGAAAAATCTGACTTCATACAAGAGAACATAAGGTATTGGGGAAATTTAGACTTTTGAGGAAAGATGGGACAGGATAAAAGAATATCTAAGAAACGCTGATATGGTATTGAAGATACAGTCTGAATGAACAAAAACCAGGAGACAGCAGCTTCATTAGTAAGCAAGAGAATGAAGGAGGGCCTGGCCCAGGTAGACGGCCAGTAAAGGAACACATAGAAAAGATCATGCAAGAAAATGAAGTCATGGAAACTAATTGTTGAGTCATTCTAGTAAATCACAGATGAGCCCCGCTGTGCTCTTGAATGGCCAAGACAACAGTACGGCCAGCAAGAGAAGGAGTGGAATCGTGGATAAAGATGGGAATGAGGATTGGCCAGAGGAAAAACTGGCAGGTCAGAATTTCAAAAGTGCCTGGTCTGGGGCCCAGCGTGATGGTGCAGCAAGTAAAGGCACTTGTCATACATGCTTAACAATCTGAGTCCAATCCCCAGAATTCATGGTGGAAGGAGAAAACTCCCCAAAATTGTCCTCTGACCTCCACATACATGGCATGACAGCTGCATGCTTGCATTTACACGCAGACACATCATACACCATGCACATCATGAACACACATGTGTATACACACAAAGCAGGTGGGAGGGCTTGGTCTGCTTTGGCACATACCAGTGCTGCCTTCCTTGCTCAGGAAGTCCACTACTCCACCCATGTACATCCATACCTCCATCAGCATTTCCTTTCTCACTTTCTACCAGTCAATCCCTTTAGTTGATGTTCCTCTAGGAAAATAATAACAGGGACAATTCAGATTATGTGAGTATAAGCCGAGGGCTAGTTCCTGCAGTGAGACCATGGTGCCGACACATGAGAGTTATGAACATTAGCCCTCTGGACAATCACCACAGCCTGAACTTGGGTTCTCTGTATTGGTGAAATTGAGCCAGCCACTATGAAGATATGGTAACAAAGCCATCAGGAACTGGGCTCACCCCTCCCTTCTGAGCTGCTCCAGACAGCAAAGTAACCTCTGTTCCCAGAGCTGCCTCAGGAGTGAGGCCTCCTTATCTCCCATGTCCTTCTTTGAGTGAGTCATCAGTACCACAGCCATGCCCAGCGCGTGTGCAGAGCGGCCACCAAAGTGAGCCTGACAATGAGGGATGGGGACCCAACAGCCACCGCGTTTGTCTGCAGACTCTACTTCCCAAGTGCTTTAATTTCTGTGTCCTCTCTATTTAATTACAAGTGCTTTTCCTTAACCCTCAATAACAGCAGCAAGTGACAGAAATTATAACAGTAGCATCTTTTTCTACACGTCCCAGGGGCTAAGAATGTGTAGAACACTTTGCCCACGCATATGTTTTTTTCTTGTCAGTCTTTACAGAAATTTTGTGGTGGGGAGAGAAGAGCTAGAGTTCACTCCACTTCAAGAAGGACAAAGAGGAGGTATATGGAAGTTCCATAAGCTTATCCATACTTATAAAATCAATCATTATCAGAATTGGGAATTGAACCAAAACCTAAACAATTAACCCTCTCAGGCATTAAAATTGTTTGAATAAATTTATTTCCTCAAAATGTGCTTTTAGTCTATGTTTTTAAACAATTGTTCACTGTCTTATATTGTAATATGATGGTCTGGGGGTCAGTGCTGGTGATCTCACCCAGGGATAGGGCCTGCTAAGCAGCTTCTTGAATGCTAAGCTACATCCCAAGCCCTCAAATTCTTTTTTTTTGTTTGTTTGTAGGGATGAGGGTGTGCATGTTCTCTTGTGTACTACATATGTGTGCAGACATGTGTGGAGACAAGAAGTCAATTTCATATCTTCTATTGCTGTTCACCTTATTTTTGGAAACAAGATCTCTCCCTGAATCTGGAGCTTACCAACTCAGCAAGACTTGCTGGCCATTGAGTGCAGGGTCTCCTCCTGTTTCTGTTTCCCCAACACTAAGACTGCAAACACTTGTCACTGTGGTCTGGCTTTTATATGAGTGCTGGGGTTTTGAACTCAGGCCTCAAGCTTGTGTGGCAAATTGTTATTATTATTATTATTTTATTATTTTCAAATCATAGATGATCCTCCAGATCATATTTGTCCTCCTTTAAAAGCATAAATAGAAAGTTCTAAACCTGCACCCCAAGGACCCAGGTCTCCTGTTAAATTTTTAAATTTATTTTTTGTGCATGAGTGTTTTGCTTGAATGTATGCAAGCGTATTCATATCATTCAATGCCAGAAGAGGGTGTCAGATATCCAAGACCTGGAGTTACGGGCTGTTATTAGCTGCTATGTGGGTGCAGAGAAATGAACCTGGGTCCTCTGCAAGAGCAAACAATGCTCTTAACCCCTGATGCATCTCTCTAGCCCCCTCCTGATCTTCTTGCCAAAGTCCTCAGTGCTGCTTCTGACATCAAGATTAACTGCCCCGATTCATTCAGAATTGGGTCTATTACACCTTAGTAAGTAGCTTCTTGGTTGTTATCACTGTAATCAAGTTATCTTAGAATTGCTACTGATATGCCCACCTGGGTACCACAGTATACAGATAAATGCCCTTCCCTTTATTTTGAAACCTTAAGCACTAGAGACAGTGGCTGATTATGGGTAGACAACAAAGGCAGGGCCTTTAGAAGATAAAACTGAATGCTTAGGAAGATAACTTCAGTGTTCCACAAAGGCGTTTCCTTTGTTTTGAGACAGGGTCTCACTTATGTAGCTTAGACTATCATGCCTAACTAGCAGAAAGTGTTTTGTGAAGGCATTTAACGGACAAGTGGATAGACTTCTTTTAATATTTTAATTTTCAGGTGTGTTTTTCTTTTATAGGTACACGATTAGAGCAAAATTACGTTTAAGCATTCCTTTTTAATTAAATGAGTAAATAAAAAATATAATAATACAATGTGTGACTCTAATCCCAGCACTCAGACGATGGGGACAAGAAAATTGGGAGTTCAAGGCCAGCCTGGTCTAAAGGGTGAGTCCTTGTCCCCATACACATTAATATGTAATATATTCTTGAATATTCGGTTTTGCCTTCTGAAGACTATGAACACACACATATGGAAAATAGATAATAGTACACTTGGCTCTTTAATATAACAAATTTTAAAAGTAATACAAAAAGTCTGAAATCTGAAACATGTCCAAGAGCCACATCTCAGAAGAAGAATTCTTATCTTTTTTTAATTTTTCTTTTATGTTTTATGTATCTTTCCTAATCCAACAACACTCCAAGACAGTACTCTGGATACAGGAAACTGATAACTTGTGTCAATTCAGTGTATGTTTCCTCAACAAGAATTTACATAAGACCTTGCTAAATTCACTGAGTTAGTTAACCTTCACCATGATAATGATTTGAAATAACGATCCCAAACTCATTGTTACAGAAGCAAGCCTTCACTCTCATGTCCAAAACTCTGCTTTTTAACTGCATGCTGTTTAGCTCCGTTGTGTTCTACTGCTGATTGAACTTAAAGGGGTTTGAATCCTGGATATG